GGAAGTTTCCAAAGCTTATTCAAACTACAAACTTCAAACTGCTGCCCCCAAATCTGAATCCTTTTTAGAAAGCATCACAGCATTACCTTTTCCTTCTCTAGCATGTTTGTATAACGACATGATGTGGCAAATGTGCAATTTTTTTATCCTGTGGTTTCTGTAAGCACTTGTGCAGTTTATCTGTAAGCATCTGAAGAATTTTTGCTGTCATGTTATTGGTTTTTTTCACTCTAAAGAACTTAAATTCTGTTTAAACTTTTCTGTGACCGCCCCTAGGTGTAGCAGTATCTGCATATACTTAAGCACTTTTCAGAATAATGTCACTGGGTGTATGATTTCAAATAGGATGACAGCACTGGAACACAGACCTAACTGAGGCTGTATAAATAAGTACAGCTATCAAATCTGGTCATATTTCTAGTAAGATGTCTGGAAATGTTGTTAGGATTCGGTCCATAATGATCTCCTTTGTTCATTTTCCTATAGTTACTATATATGGTGTAACAGGGCGCAGAATCTGACCAGCAGAGCATATCAAATTGTCTGGGTATCACTGTTTTTCTGCAAGAAACAAAAAATTTCTCATAACAACCTTCAGCTGAATCAGGCTGCGTGATGCATTGAAGATGAGATAGAAACAAATGCAACAGAGGGTCTGAATTCTAAAATCACTGGGCATATGACCCCAAAAAGAAAGGCTTATCTTATCTATCAGCTGCCTGTGCCTCTGCCAAACAACCCAAGAAGTCTCACCGAAGTGCTGCTTTGCTCATGCATTCATGCACACACGCATTCATTATGACTGACCTGCCCTAGGAAGGTCCATTAAATGGAGCTCATTTCAAGCACAGATGGTCCTGAATAGCTTAATGTCTGCCTGGTGGCCAGAATAAGTGAATTCTTGATGGTCTTAGACTTCTGATCACATACATGCAGCCAAGGAGGAAATGAAAACATGTTTATCATTTTGATAAACAACCTTTCTCATTGCTGCAGGATGCTCAGTGTAACTCAGTAGAGTCAAATACTATTAAATTGTCATCACTGTCAAAGAGAGAACGTATAAGTTTTGCAACCTGAGTCATAGTTAATGACTTCCACAATGTATAACACAAATCAGTAGTGCTGTTTTTCCTTTTTTATGTTTGTCTACTGATAAGTTCAGGCTCTGCTAGAATTCAGAGGCAAGTTATAATTTTGAAGTGCAAAATATGCTTTTATTATTACCTCTCAGCTGGAGATATAAAGAACAGAGATGACTAGAAGATGGCTTCTTGGCTTCTGCCAGGCATGCACTCAGTGCCTGTAGCTGATTAGGTGCTTTAAATCACAGCCATCCACTGTAGGTTCGTACTTACAATAAAATATTTCACTCTGCGGTGTGTAAACTCAAGGTGGCTTTATAACTGAGCTAAAAAATGAATGTGTTTTCAGGAGTTAGGTGTCCTCCAATTAGAATTAATCCATTTGCAGGCAGTAGCAAACAGTCGTCCCTGTCCTACAGTAAGAATGATAGGCAATTTCTACACTTTAATATTTAAACTTATGCAGAATAAAGACTTCCCAGAAGCTAGGACATATAAGGATGGTCGTCATGCCATGGACAGTTGCAATCCTTGGTAGTCCATATTCCTTTCCAGAATTTGATTCTGTCCCTCTTGCTTAGATAGGTAGCAAATTCCCAAATTTCAGGGCATCCTGAACTGAGTGCTTAGAAGGAATCATCTGCTCTTCTTATCAAGTCCTGCTAATGACTGTTGTCAAAAAGATGTAAGTCATGATAGGACATTTCTGTTCATTTCCAAAGTTTCTTGAAGAAAAAGCAAAACTGCTCCTGATTTGTGAGTTCCTATGCATTTCTAATCTTCCCATTTTCCTGCAAGAGGGGAAATAGCAAATAAGCAACCAAACAAAGCTATTTTTCTTGCCTTCTTACCTAAGCAACCACCTCATGGCATGTAGCTGTCAGCAAGACATTCATAGCACTCTTAACTGCGATGCGTTTAGGGTGCTTTCCTCTCCTTTTAAAATCAATGGAAAATCCCCTATTGACTTAAATGAGTTGGATAAGGCCATTATTGTAGAAACAAAGCCAGAAGACACATTAGCTCATCAGACCATGAATTGTTAAAAAAAAAAAAAGCATCAAGCATGTTGTTTGTGACAAAGATTCAAACTTCCACTGCACTCAGCCTATCAGGTCAATAATCCGCACTGTTATTTAAATTCCTAAGTATTCCTTTGTAACAGAAGTTTGCAGTCAATAATCCATGTTCTTTAAAAGTCCATCAATTTTGAAACACATTTATGCAATATATGTATTTTTCTGTCTACCATCCAGGTCAATCCTAGTAGGCACTACAAAATGTCTCTGAGTATTGTTTCCTCTCTTTTTTAAACAAACAAGTTGGTAAACCTCTGAGATGTATATTTTTATGTATAATATGAGCACTGAGCATATTGCTGTGATTTGTCAGAGATCTGCTGATGACGACTGGAAAGACAATAAAAAATAATGTTCTCTGGAATCTCTTCTCATTTCCATGACAATAATGGAACCGAGGAGAGAATATTCCAGTTTCCAAATTTCAAATTTCAACCCCTGAGGGTTGAAATCCATACATACTTAGCCAACAGGATTAGAGATGTCATTTTTGACTGGACACCAGTTTTGTTTCAATAAAATTTACTCCTCATGTGAGGAGATCTTTAGTAATCAGTGTCAAGCCCTAGGCAGGTGAACAAAATGTATTGACTCTCGAAATGCAATGCTTCTTGTGAACAGCATCTTTTTTTCTTCCCTTTTAACTGAAAGTTGACATATGTAATTTCAACACTGAAACAGCAAACAGCATCAAGAGAGAACAAATGTCATCATGCACCTGCACTGCACAAACAATCTTTGTGTTCTGCGGCATGAAGTCCAAAATGTTCTCTGTGCACTGTTTAAGTAGTAGTTTTATTAACAATTCACCTCTTGGCAGTGCATTAAGGTTGCTACTTCCATGCTACATCTCCCATGGAATGGTTTCAGTGGAATTAATCTTTGATATTAAACCTGAGAAGCTCAAGCAACTAGAGAAATGGAAGTAAGGGGAAAATATTTTTCTTTTGCTCAAGGAAAATATTTCCAGCTATGGTTCTGCTTATGTTTCCATCCAAGAAACAGACACTGCAGAGAAAACTTCATAATGCGTTGCATAATCTTTAGTGCTAGCAGTAGCATTACTGTGGGTATATTCTTATATTTTTATAGTTGGAACAATTAAAAGTTCCAATTAATGTACATAACTATCCAGTGGTAACAAAAGGGTTTTTACACTGCTTTTATAGTTTTGTTGTTTTCTTACTCCTATGCAGCTACACACTTCTAGTTAAATTCTTTACTGCTGCAACAACTTGAGCTTTCGCATTACAATTAAAGGTGTTATAAAGCTCATCAACCACAACCCATTATTTTGAACAGATAATCAAATGAGAAAGACTAGCTCATGTGGTTATTAGTACTCATACAGGAAATTAATAGAGAAAATGAAGCTTTTAGTTTATTCACAGATATTTACCAGACAGTATACATAATCTAAAATTAGAAATACTTATTACCACGTACATTATTTTTATTGTTGTATGTGCAATCAATAAAATCACAAATCCTTCTTCTCTTAGGACATGACCATAAGATGAGTCAAACCAGTGTGAATGTTTTTATGGCTTTCAATATGATTTGGATGAGGGAACAGGGAGTTTATGTGAAGAACTATTTCTTAGAAAAACGCAAGGATTTGGGGCTGAGTTGATTGTCACAATTCCTCTTACTCCTAAGAGACAACTAAATGACCTTTTGTCATATAATGGCTTTCTGAATTGTTGGGATCTCTCTTCTGTGGTACCTATTGGCTTTCAAAAATCCCATGTCAGCAGACCAAATGCACCTAACAAGTACTACATGCAGCAGCATTTCTTTCCAGATGAGGCAGTTATTTTCTGCAGTCTTGTCTCAAGCCTGCAGACTCATCAGTGCTTAACTCCAAGTCCATGCAACCCAAGCTCATGTACTTTAATGGATGTTCACAAGCTTTGAGGCCAGATTCCTTCTTCACGTCCAGATGTGGGCCAGCATCTGCACATGCTCACTAGCTCTCAAAGCTTTTTCGGTAAAAGAGTGAATGCCAAAGTGCTTGCACTGTATTGCTAAGGTGAATGGGAATGGCACATGTGACAGTTCACTTCTGTGTGTAGCATACGCCACAGACACCAGGGATTCGTGAACGCTATGAGTTCATTTCTCTGCCTATCACTCCATCCAAACAGATCACTGCAAATAATCATAAGGGGCAATGAAGGAGAGGACAAATTAATCCTTGCCCATGATGACAATGTTTTCTGGCTTTAAATTGCCCATTTTGTGAGTGGGGTAGCGGAGGGAAATGCTGTTGCACCATTCTGTAGTTTGGAGAGGCCGATTATCACCCACTATGGACAGTGAGTTGGCTTAGAATCAAATACTTGGAGAAAAGGTTTCTTTCTAGATGGATGCCTATAACTCCTTTCTTTGTACAGAATATTTGTACAGAGAATATTTGGGAGAAAGATATTCCAGTATTGCAAGCATAAAATCATCCCAAAATTATTTCATTTATGCATGCAGCATAGGTAGTATATCAACTACATTTCTTCAGGCCCAGACTGTGACTTACTTCATTTTCTTAGTTCAAAAGTCTACAGATGTCAGAGAAGCTTTTAATACATGACAGGCAAAAAATATCTGCTCTAGAGGGACATTAATCTGCATTTCCTATAAGAAGTATATCAACATCTGTCTTAGTAAGGGTCACATACAGTGGGAGAAAAATAGCACTGTAGTAGTGGCTGTATAGAAGCCATGCAGAGAAAAGGACAGTAGCACACCAAGTGCTTTGATTAACCACTTCTGCTCTTCCTAATCAGAAAGTCAATATTGTCTCTCTTTCTTTTTTCCCTTTTTTTTCTTTTTCTGCCAGAAGGAGGAACGTGTGAAGTTATAGCAGCACACAGATGCTGTAATAAGAATCGAATTGAGGAAAGATCACAAACAGTAAAATGTTCCTGTCTACCTGGGAAAGTGGCTGGGACTACACGAAACAGACCTTCCTGTGTTGATGGCAAGTAGCTTCTCTTGTATATATGTCTATGTATCTGTACCATCCAGTAAATAGGTTCAAGTCTATAGATTTCACGTAGGAACTTTGCTGTGTTGTCTGTTCAACTCAACAGGAAAGCCATATTGAGCACATGGATCACACCAAGGTTTATTCACAAAAATATGAGTAAAGCATTCAGTACAGCCACTCAGATCAGTGTAAAAGATATTGTGGCAGAATCAAGCTCTTAGTAAATAACTGGATGAAATTATTCCTTGCATCACTTCAAGGGTACCTGAAGTGAGACTGAAGAATCAGTGGGTAACGTAGACTGGAGGACTTTGTAGACAAAGCTTAGAGGTTTTTACATTCAGTATTAAGAAGGTGAAAGACTGGGAGTACCTTCAAGAGATGAGAACCTAATGTTTTCTCAGCAAGTATTTGTGTTAAAGACTAAAAGAAAATATTGAATGATTTCAGAAAGGCTTTCAAAGTCTTAAGTGATGAGGCAGTAATCTTTACCTTGTTAGGCTGGGAATGCCATTCAGCTTCTGAACTCATAACTAAAAATGCACTATGAATGGACCTCTGAATGACTGCACTTTAATCCACATACTGTCATTTTGTTATTGCTTAATTAACTCAATAAAAAGAAACTTTTCTGCTGAGCACACTCAAAAAAAAAACAACCAAAAAACAAAAAACAACAGCAACAAAAACAACCATAGGTGAAATCTACCACTGCTCTTAACCAAAGATCAGCTGTACAAGCCTTGAAAGGTTTCATGTTCTTCAGCGGGTCGTGAGAAAGAGAGGCACTGGGTAGAGCAGACACCATTAATTCAGATCTCATAATTCTGCTCAGAGGACAGGAGCTCAAAGAGTGCTGTGTTAAGAAAGCTGGGTGCAGGTGTGGACTGGAGCCTAATTGCTTTGTCAGGATTACAATAAAAAGAAACGTTTTTGTCTGGAATTTTGAAAGGAGTTAAGGATAAAACAATGACTAATATAAAAGTGCAAAGTTAGTTCCATTGAAGTCACTGGTAAGATTCATGGTGACTTCAAAGCCCAAAAATGTGAACTACAAAGGAATGTCTTCCCTTTTCAAGTTTAGTTGTTGCAGTAAGACCATTGCTTCTTTTGAGGATGGCTAGTGAACAGTTCAAAAGCCCAACGTGTTGCTTGTAAAAATTAATAGAATGGGCATTTCCTTTGGCCTTTGTTTTATCCCAGACTTTGCTTTGTGACTTTTGACATACTGAACGGTGTTAAGTCAGATCTTTGACATGTTTGGTGCAAAAAACTTCCTGTCAGAGATCTGTAGATGGCAATACTTTAACTCACATGAAGATCTGGAGTTTGCTGTCTCTTTTTTACATGTGGACATTTACAAAGGTCGTGTACAACTTGTTACCTTGTTCACCTACTGCAGTGAAATGGTGGAGACCTTTTAGCCACACTGGGTTTTACAGTGTGGACGATTTCCAACCACAATCCATCATTCAGAAAGCTTATCTATCCCCATTACTGGGGACATTCAGGAACAGCAGTATACTATCAGCCAAACAGGTCAAACACTTTTGAGGTAGATACCATGTCAGCAGTCTGACTCATATTGGTAGTGATGATTTCAGCTGTGTGTATAAAAAAACTTGAATCTCAGTCTTGCCCTGTTTGTACCATTAGCCAAACTGTGACTTAATGGAATCCGAAGAAAACTTCTGGAGTTTCTCAGTCCAGTAGCATCAGAAAACACATCAAGGCCAATGCTTGATTGTTTATTGCAATCAGAATTGCTCCACACACACAAAAAAGGCTTTTTTTATTTTGCTTTTGCTTTGTTACTTCTCAAAACACTTCTTTAAAACACATGGCTGACAGCTGCTTGAGTTTTGGTGGTTCTACCAGATATTAGCATTGTTTGAGGTCTGATAAATTCACACAGGCAAACAAATAACTTTGTTACAACAGCATCAAACGTGAAGGTTGTACCAGCACTATCACATTTGAATCAGGACTGTAACGTCCACCCATCATTCTTCTTTGACCTAATCTTCATGCAAAATTGATGTCACCTTTCTGAATAGGATAAGATTTTCTTTTGTAGCACAAATTAAGCTGGCTGGGTGAACCAGAGAGCAGCAATGAGCAAGTGACAGCAGGGAACTGATTTGTACAATCAACTCATGTCTTTTTCTTTTTCCTTCCCTTTCCCATTCCCATTCCCATTCTTTTTCCCTTTCCCTTTCCCTTTCCCTTTCGCTTTCCCTTTCAACTGTCTACACATGACTTGCAGTTTTCTTCAGTTGCCTCCATTAGCAAAGCAGCAGTGTGGTCACTTTTTTGTTGCAAGCAGAGATTGTTTTTGGAAGCAATCGTACTACACTTTAGTACTCAGTATACCCAGCATGAGTGTTTGATCAGACACAGGTATAGAACACCTTTTCTACGCTGATGTAGCTTGGTCACAAACTACAAATGTGGGCACAGAGGCCAAGTGACCCCCTGGGGTTCCTGTGTAAGTATTAAAAGAAGAGCTTTAGAAATATTCTCACAGCTCAAATAATTCACATCACTGCTCTAAAAACGTAACAGGAATACAAAACATTCGTAATTTTAGTACTGTCACTTTCATACAGCAAATAATGTGCATGTTACCATATCATTTACAGAGGTATTGAGCCATTCTATACACTCAGCAGGTGGTTATGCCCATGTGTTCTTCAATGCCTTGAATAATACATAATTTGTTCAACAGTACTGAAGTTTACTGTGTTATGGTTAATGATGCTCTCAGACACGTATTTTTGTAATGCTTGAATTCCCTGTTCCCTTCTCTTCACTCTTCCTCCACTCTCTTTCAAACTGTCAGAGCCAGTCAGCATCTTTTACACAATTCTCTGTGAAATTGATTGGACCACAGAGCATGCAATCAAAGAAAAGCACATGCACTGGCTTTAGAAATTGGTCAAGAAGGGACCATCACACAGGCTGTGCATGTTGGCTTTTAGGAAATCAGAGCTTTTAGCACCGGTCAAAATCAGTGAGAAAGGAGGAAGGCATTACTACAACTATTCCCAGTTTCTGTGCATTATCTCTCTCTCCAAGTTGTTCCTCTAGGAAATGTCACGGCCGAGGTCTAAGCGATCCCCCTCCATGTTGTCAGCAATACAGGATTTAAAGTGTCAGCTCCCATGGAACAGGACCAGTGTGCTAGCTCCCCATACCTGCTGCTGGCCTGCTTTAAACCAGCTATGCATCAGGGCAGAGGGAAATCACTCACTGATATGAACTATAAAATGAAATGAACCCAGAGTTTCCCATTCTCCTAGCCTGGCCTTGGAGCACATCAGCTTTCAAATCATTCTGTAATATATGAAATATTCACTCGCATGTACATACTTCAGGTTTCTATTAGTTTGAGGACCATCCATCACTAGCCACCATGCAGCCCTTTGAATTTACATCAGACTTTGTCAGGACAGTACTAACAAACTCAACACAAGTCTTAATGACTCTTGGGAGCACCACGACTTTTAATGCTGCTCTGGGCCAGCACCTCACAACTCTCTTTGTGCTACTGATCGTAGATACTGCACATTATTCATCCCTGTGCATTGTTAGGAGCAGGAAGAGTATAGCATCCATCAACACTTGGGCTCTTTGCTGGCATCTGCCCTCCAACTAAAAAGGTCATAGCCCATAGGTCACTCCTTGGGCAGGCAGTACTTGCAGCCACACTGTTGACAAGAGCTTAAGCTATTTTATTTTTAAATTATGGACAGGTTGCCGGATGTAAAGTGAGCATTCATAATTAAAGGGCTGTGGTCCTGCACCAGAAGAGGCTCAGCTCACCCCCTGCAGGAGCCTGAGCTGGCTCCTGTCCACACACCCTGCCCCAGCTCATGCCAGCAGGAGGTGGGCACAGAAAATATGGAAAGCTCGCAGAGTGAGAGCAAGATTTGAGCCCTGCAGAGTCAGACGAAAGACTCCTATTGACTTTGAGTCAGATCCTTAGCAAATACTTTGTTAGATATAATCCTGTATCTATCAGCACTTACATCGAGTGAAAATGGCTCACCGTCACAAAGCCAATGGTTTTCTATTTATCTTGTGTGTACTTTAGGTGGTATCACCAAAAAGCCTTCCCCCCCCCCCCACTCTGTGAAAATACTTTCAATCAATTTTTATTTCTTGAAGAAAAAAGGAGAAAAAACCATGCTTTTATGCAATGGAAGGAGTCAGATTCTCATCCCTCTAGCTGTGCTTCAGCCTAGATGAGAGGAGATCTCAGGGTCCCACATTATTAATGCACTGTCTGTATGAATAACGAGCAGGCTTGGTGAATTATTTCACACTCCTGGGAAAATCTATAGCCCTGTCCTTCTGCAGCACCACGGAACCGAGCGGGAGTCTCGTATTTTTTGATTTGGTGAATTCAGATGACTTCATTTGTGAAGAGGAAAAAAATGTATCTGCTCCCTGCTGACACCCATTTAGTAAGCTAAAAAAAAAAAAAAATCACAGCATATCGCATACACTATTAAATAGAAGCAAGCAAAGAAAGAAGCCTAACTTTGTGCTGGAATATTTTCAGACTTTGCTTCTGTCTGGAAATACGTCTTCTTGAAATGTCCTTGGAGCTGCCCTGCCATTGCAATCAGTGCAGAGGAGCTGACCTTATGGATGGTCATCCTCCCCATCGTAGCACCCAGTGCTGTTTGGAAGTGTAGGCATGTTCTGGTGGCTGAGGCATACTATGGGAGGATATTCAGGGGTTGAATTTGTAGCCAACACGGGATGAAGTTCCCATTTGTGCTGTGTGTGCTGCCTGCAGACCTCAGCCCCGCACTGGGGAGAAGCAGATGGATGAACTTGCCTCTCTGGAGTGAGGATAGTGCTGTTATTGAGATCACCTGAGCACATCTTCATCTCTGCTATAATTTACCTCCCTACCCACATCTTATATTTCTTTCTTTTCTGATTGACACTGTGGTTTCCTGCAAAGCAAACCAATCACC